GTGTTTTTTGGTTCTGTTGATGCTGTTGCTTTAAAAGCTATGCTGCCATGTGTCCCTGAGTCAGGCCCCTGCTTGCTGTGGGGCAGGCGCAGGTGGGAGAGTTTAGGCAGCATCAGTCCCGGTCAGGCTGACCTTAGGTTTTGATAATGTGCCTGACACACAATTGAGCAAGTTACTAAGAACATTGAGGTGCTTACATGGAAAGCTTCACTCATTAGAACCAGGACCACCAAAACAGAGATTTTCAACCCGATTTTTTAAGTGTCTGATGTCACCAAAATCAGCGGGTGGAGGTTGGAGCGTGAGATGATGAGTTGGGAAAACTAAAGATGAGTGGACTGTACAGCAAAAATGGGAATAAGAAAGCAAATCAAGGCAGTACTCATTCTAAAAATGTCAGGATAGCTCTAAATCAGAATATAGGGACATAAGAATATAAACGATGCATAAATCATCTATGTTTAATTAAGTAATCATAAAATTTTAACAAAATAAGGCAGGATTTTTTAAAAAAATATATTTTTATTGATTTCAGAGAGGAAGGGAGAGGGAGAGTTTAAGTTTAAAAAATTTGGCTCTCAAAAGAAATTTCAGTCATTGTACTGTTGATATTTGGCTCTGTTGACTAATGAGTTTGCCGACCATGGTCCTAGTTCTTTGGTCAATGTTCAACCACAGAGCCACACTGGCTGGGCAAAATCCCACCAGATTTACTACTTTCCTTTCACTCCTCACCCTCATAGAGCCCTCCCACTGCACTGCAATGGTTCTGAGGAGTTTGGAGAGGGCCCCCACCTCCCTTCCCTGGCACTCACCCGCTGCCTTTTCCTGGTCACCAGTCACCTATAAGCTGGCGAGGAAGCAGCTGGGCAGGAGACAAAGGTGCAATAGAGGTGAGCCCCTCCCATCAGGTCCCCTTCTGTCACCTCCAAACTCCTGTCCAAATTCCTCAGGGCAAAGCCGATGTTGGCATGTGCTGTGCTGGGCGCCAGATGGCTGGGGTATTTTTAGTCTTGGGGGAGGGACTAAAGAAGCCAGGCCCGTGGCCAGGCGTGTCTCCAGCTCCTAAGTTATATAAGGAGCGTGGAGCCCCGCGAGGGAGCTGCTGCCTGGGTGGCAGACCTGTCAGCGAGGAAGCTGGTAGACGTTTCACCCTTGAACGGCTCAGCCTCATCTGTCTTTCTCTGAGTGCACCATCTAGAGGAACCTTGAAGGGGAATTGGTGATCTCGGAAAGCAAGTTCTGAAGGTTCCTTTTCCAGAATATCATACACAGAAACTTTCCCCAAAAGTTGTTTCCATCACTACTCCTCCCTCTATTCATGGGATGGTTGCAATATTTAACGTGCCTTTCCATGTCTGTATATGATCATTATCAAGATATTTTTTTCTGCCTGTCACGCCACAAATAATGTGGGAACTGGAGTGAGTTATTTGGGGACAGTAGGGAAATGGCCATAGAATAGTGGGCAGAGAATACAAGATTTTTTTCACCTTGAAATGTTAAGCGAGGCCACCAAACAGGTGGGGGATCTTGGAGCTGGCTGACCATGAACTCCAGGTCTTTATTTCTTGTGCACAAGTGCACTTGGTGGTTATGTATTATACTGGCTGGCATTGTTTGGTGTAAAAAAAAAAATTAATGTTGTGATGGTCATAAGACGAAGGTCGCGTTTAGGTTCTTTTTAGCATGTGACACATATGAGACCTCTTTTACTGGTGACAGAACCTAAACTCCCACCGTAAACATTGCAGCCCTCTTCAGCTACACGCTTCTTCTGCTGCCACTTCCTCCCTCGCGCTGTGCACCTCTTCCCGTCGCAGAGGAGGAAGGTGGCTGTTGGCGATCTCAGCCGCTCCGTCGTCCTTACCTTGTTCAATCAACCTAATAATCTCCTGGGACTAATTCTGACTGGATGTCCTCCTTCCGTAAATCAGGCTGCTTTTCCCTAATGAATAATAGACGAGTGCAGTGTGCCAGCACCTTAATTAAAGAGTGCCTCTCTTCGTCTTCATCTCATTTTAATTTACAGGGTAATACTACAATAATATCACTAATGGAAGGTACATTAAAGGACATCAAGTAGCATTAACTGTATTAAATTATGGTACTTGTGTTAATTAACTGCCGAAGCAAGATGGTTCTAATGGCCAAAAAGGTCGTCTAATGCATAAATAAAATCTACCCAAATGAGAGGTGAGGGGAGGAACGGGGAGGAGATGTTTGTTCCGAACATCCTTTTATACCGACAGAGAGCTGAGCCCATGGGCTGTGAAATCTAAGGTACAAAATGTTTCCTTAGTTACACATGGAAAGTTTTGATTTTGAAGTGTTTTGTTTCCGCCTAAGCATTTGCTAATTACATTGAAAAGTTGAACATTATATTTGTCAGATGCATTGATTGTAGAGAACATAAACTCAGCCTGATGTATTGTTTGTTTGAGGTGCCCAGTTTCAAGGAAGTAATGTGATTTACTGTAATCATTGTAACACTGGAAAGACAAGTGAACATTTGATGATACGCTCACCTGTTTGTGAGGTGTGCTGTCAGCAATGGCTCAAGGTACTGGATTCAGTCACAAGATGATAGAAATTCCTTTTCAACTTCAAAATCTTTAAGATAGAATTGTAAGACCTTTTCTCGGTGGCCTAGAAAGCTCTAACCAGCATCTCTAGTACTTGTCTTGTTAGAGAGTACCCCTAAACATAATCGCCAATAATTTCCTGCAATGTTGTTCACCCATGTCTTACCCTTGGCAGCTACCCAAGCTCTTTGCAGGTAGTTGGCCCTCAGCCACTACTGGCAGGAAGGACTTTGCCTTCTGAGCCTCTGTCATTCATCTCTGAGAAAGGAGCCGGGCACCACCAGCATGAAGGCTCCACCTCTACACACTTTTTGGTGCCGCCCCAGCTGGAACCCACTGTCCCTCTCTGATCCCAGGACGGGGAAAGGCCCCGGGACAGAGCCCCTCAGGCTGGGTGTCAGGAGTGAGAAAGGCCCTTCCCTGTCACCCTCAGCAGGATCAAGGCTTTCAATGGTTCATGGGAAAGTGTGCGATCATGGGAAAGTAAGCAAGAACACTGCGGGGAGCTGCAGAGTATGAAGCAGTCGGGCATCCCCACGCTTCCTCAGACAATTTAGGGAAAACCATGTAGCACACAAGTGGTCTGGGGAGGACAAAAGGCTTCCAGTCCTCCTGCAAGTTCACTGAGTCCTTCTCTCAGCCGCAGTTTGAACAAATCTACCAAAATATTTACTCTTCACCTGTCAGGTGAGAGGCACCAAAGCACGGGGCCTGGCCTTTGTTCATTCTTCCCAATGAGTCTTAGTCACTGAAGTTGGGTTTTACCACCACCCAACAGACCGCTTTTATAACACCTTCCCTCTGTCACCAACAGCTACTCATCCTCCGTCCCGGCCAGCCGCCGGGTTAGACGGTGGCCATATGGAGAAGCACACAAGGACACAGGCATGTAAACAGCAAAGGAGGACCATGTGGGTTCAGTGCTTTTGCCACATGGGTGCGGAAAGTGCCCTGGCAACAGAAAAGTGGCCCATTTAATGCAGGAAGCCTAGCGAATGCTTTGATGAGGATGTGATATTTGCACGGTGTCTTGAAATATGTACTTTAGAATGTGGAGCAGCCAGGACCCAACGGATATTTTAGGTGACTCATTGTGCTTAAGAACAGCACACCTGGTAAGGAACTCCAAGTAGTTGGACAGATCCTGGGAGATGGGTTTCTGGCATCTCCAAGAAGTACTGAAGGACTCTTACCTTGGGCCTTGAGTCCCCCATGCCATAGAAATAGAAAGTTCTCTGGGTTCTTAAATGTCTACTACGTGCAGGTGAGGAACTTTCCAGAGCCATGGAATGAAAGGCTGTTCCCACATGGCTGTGTTGAACAAGGAGATGCAGGGAAAGACCAGGAGGACTAGGCCATTGCTTAGTTGTGGAGCAACTGGATCTCCAAGTCCTGATGCTCAAATGGAGAGTCCCGAGAGTGCCCCAAATTCCACAGAAGCCATCATAACATGCGGCTTTGAGATTTGCTCGCCCTGTCATTAGGACTTAGTGGACCAATCAGATTTGAAGGAAAGAAGGGCTGAAGGAAAGATGTTAGTGGGAATCCGAGTGGAGGGTCCACATACGGATTTGAAAACACACCTCTGATGTTGCAGAAAGAGGTCTGAGCTGGAAATACACACGTCTGGATAGTATCTCCTCGCATGTGACGGCTGACATGCAGAGAATGAATGATGTCGATATAATAGGGTTCTTTCCCAAGGTAACTATGCATGGCTAGTCACTTATGGAACACTTGCAGAACTCTGTGCAGTACTGTCATTGAAGTGGTGATTTCTGAAGGAAATTGAGAAATAATCCAGGGAAGAGGAGGAAATCAGAATGAGAGGGGGATGGATGAGTTAAGGACATTCTACCAAATCTACCCACTGGATTAATATTGACATAGTAACCCTTCACGTCGGTATAGCACTCAGCTTACTAGGCTCTGGCCAGGGACCCTCTTCC